ACGAGGCGATAAAAGGGCGGAGAGAAGAAGGGAGGTCGCGCTAACGCGAGGCAGGCGCGGGGCGATCAATTACGTAACCTAATAAAAGTGGGTCACGTGTCAAAGTGTGGAGCCATCCCCGAGGTGTCCAACTTTTTGGTAAAAGCTCGTAAATTACCAGTCAGCTAGCTAGTAAGCTAGCTAGCAAGCTAGCTAGCTAGCTCTGTTACCACCCCGCGCTTTAAATAGAATGTCGACAGCTCGGAAGCTTGTGTCCAACCACTCTCTCGCAATCTTCCGTTCATCGTTTCCTCTTTCAATCCCCGTCATCTTTCTTTATCTTCCTCCCTTCCCCCCGATTCTCCCCCTCTCCGCGCTTCACACAGGCAGTTTCTCACCCTGACTTTTTTCGTGAGGACCGAAGCCGGACACGTAAGTCGCTGGTCGTTAGTCGTCGACGAGGCCATCAATGTGGTAGCGGGTGTGATAGTAAGAGAGAGAGCGGGGGGCAGAAAGGGTCGGTTTACGAGAGAGGATTGTAGAAGGGGATAGAAAGGAGAAAGAGAGAGGCAAAAGCAAAGGGAGAGACAGAGAGAGAGAGAGAGAGAGAGAGAGAGAGAGAAAGCGTCACGGCAGGAGAAATAAGACAATCAATAAGATTGCCAGGTCCGAAGGAACTCAAGCCCGGATTCGCCGAATGAATTCGGTACACTTCCTGTCAGGCCACGAGAAGACTCGCCTTTCACGAAGTTATCAAATCTTATTCTTGAATGCGAGACGTTGGATTAAAGTCTTCGGCAAGACGTGAAGGGAAGTAGACAACGATGAAGGGCGCTGGGATTAAACGGAAAGCAAAGCTTTTCCCGCGGGAAAGGGCCCGCTCTTCTCTCGAGGGGGTCGATACCAAGTCTAGTCACCGGATAGGCAATCGGATAGGTCAGGATAGCAACGGGATAGGCCAGAGGATGCCCATGGACGTCAGGTCGTATGGATAAGAGGGGTTGCCAGAGCGAGGGGGTGGCGATGAAAAGGGTGCACGAATGGGGAATGGAGTGGTGGAGGCCGCACAATCGCCGCTCTGGCGGATATTGCCGGAACTACGAATTACCCCGTGTCGCCGGGGGTACTTTCCTGCCGGGGTGCACTTCTTCGAAAGCTCGAATGAAGCGTTACGCGATGCCGGTGTCTCTCCCGGAACGACAACGCGAGAGATTCCGGGGATGAAATTTTGCGTCGATAAGGAAGAACCATCCCTCGCTCGGAGTACAATGAAAGTAACAGGATATCGGAGCTCGTCCTTACGTTCTATCAATACTAGAATGTGAGCCTGCTGATTTTTTATCTATTATTTTTTTATCCATGGAAGATAAAAAAATTAAGTATTAAAATTGTTCGAATAAAAGTAAAAGATATCTTATTTTACAAATAATTATAAAAACTATAATTTTAGGCGATGAATAGGAAACACAATAGTAGTCACAAGAATTTGTTTATATTGTTAATCGATTTGTAGTGAAATAATCAATCTTTTAGTCAAAAATAATTAAATAAATAAATTCAGGATAAAATATATAAGAGAAATTATTTTTTTAACTATTTAATTATTATTAATTTTATATTGAGTAATATAAATTTTGCATTTGTAGAAAATAAGATTAATCCTTACTTTAAAGTTTAAACATTTTTGAAATGAAAAGTTTTGCTATTTTTATACGCATAATTCTGTAATCTTTGCGTCGACAAAATGGCCATTATTAGTAAACGAGAAATTTGGTCAAAATAACATTAAGAATGGCTATATTAGATTCTAATATCTTATTGATTGCAAGAATTTTTTGATCATCATTTAGATAAACAGAGAAAGGTGTTATGTGAACTACGAACGGTTAAGGTCTGCACACGATCGGAAAACCATAGATTCTAAGAGAAACTTTCTCGGCCTATGTGGCACTAACAATAAATAACAAGGTCGGCAATAAATAAGGAGCACGATAGAGAAGGTCTCGTGCGTCACAAAAGCCGGGGTCACGATACAGAAAACGCCCAGTCAAGCGCATTCATCAAACTTTTACAAGAATATTAGGAACATAAAAAAATAATTCGCATATCGATTTTCAGAGAGAGAAAGAGAGAAATATACTAATATAAATAACTCCAATTATATCTGCGAACTAAAATAATTTATATATCTATTTTCAGGTCTCTTTCTCGGCTCATCAATAAATAAATTCTATAAAACTTTTAATCGGTTAGCAAGAAAAAAAGTACCATCATTTCGAGCACATATTTCTAATCTGATACGACGATCGAATTTTTATCGAATAAATATTTTTATAACGCCAAACGTGATTTGTATCGGATTTTGGAGTAAAACGTTCACTCACATTTTCAATTAAAATTTCGATCAAACTTTGTATTAACTACGTTAAATGTAAAGTTGCAATAAGCGTTGGATTTTCTTTTTTTTTTTTCCTACACAACCATGGCTAACCACTGCTCCTCAGTGAGTTGTCGTCGAGTTTCGCCATGTCGTTAGAACTTGGCGCTCGTAAAAAGCTGTCATCTTGAAATTTGCGCGACATTTTACTGTTTTAGTGCTAGCATGCACGTCTTGGTACTTTCCGCACATCAAACGGTAATACTTTTCGCACAGGACTTCCTTTTTCCTTCTCTCTCTTTTTCCCTCTTCGTGGCACACACAACCCGTTCTTCCTATTTATATTCGAAATCGGATTCACGCACGAGTGCCCATTATGGAAAAACGTTGCTCGAAGAATGGAAGAACCGGTTGTGCCTGCAGCCTCCCGGCGACTATGCATATGTCGCGCGAATCGGAGTGCATGTGCATCTTCGCGTTGTGCATACAGCCAATTCTGGAAATGAGCCGAAACCTCTTTCCGTGAGTATAGACGAACGTGGGAGATATAAGGATGCACGCCGAGTCAGGCGAGAGCTTCGAAATGCAAATGCGGGAAATATGATGAAAATCGTACGCGGGAAAACTTGTTTTCCAGGAAAAGTGACGACAACCTTAATGGAAATCCCACATCGGAAAGTTTGCGATAGTATACATACGTTACTCGCTGTATACTTTGTAGAGAAGCAGCAGAAGTTTTGTCAATATGTAGTATTCATCCAAGAACATAAAAAAGTTGAATCATAAAATTAATAATTAAATTGTATAACAAAGTAAAATGCGTATTTTGCTGTGAAATTGTCTAACGTTTTTCTTGAAATTATATTAGGAAAGACTTGCAGATAGAAAAAAAAATACAATTTTTATTATTTCATATAGAAATTCAGATCACACTGTATATACGCCCCATTACCATTCCTGCCACGGACTTTTTGCAGATCGATAATTTCCACTTCAGAAAAGATCGCGCGATTCTCGAAAAACGGTGATAAGTAGAACGATTTAAGGATGAGAAGCTTCGAATCTCCTTCATGGAATGGGCCTCAGCGCATATCGATCATTTCTGTTTTCGCAGTCTCTCAGATGGGAGAGGAAGTAATTCCGCTCGGCGAATTGTGGATATTTGCTCCCAGCATTCGGTTTTCAACTACATTTTTGTTTTTATTCCCGTGCTGTCGATGCACGGTGGCACATCGTGCAAAAAATATCGTATCGACATTGCGTATTATCGGGGATCAACGTGTAACAGTTGTATACGGACCACTATTTTCCGATATACAACGACTAACTAAATTCATTTGCAACTGCATGAAACAATTTAGCGAGGTATAAAAAGTGCAGTAATTCAGTTACATGTGCGGACAAATAATATTACGGCATTGTGTCGCAATATTAATTTCGCGTACGAATTTCGCGCGCACACACCTTTGAGATGTAAATCAATTTTTCATATTTCAAATATCTAAAAATTAAAAGTCCGTAGATTTAATAATATTGATAAAAGATGTATAAAAACTTTAAACACTCAATATTTCAATTCGAATATTTATACATATCTATATACACAAAAATTTTAACTACTGAGAATATTAAAATTCGAATGCATATTTAAAAATTTAATTTAATGAAAAAACAATTTAATGGAAGGATTTCAACAGCCGCAGAAAAATGAATATGTTTAATAGCCCGTTTATATCATTTAAATTTCTGTTTTATCGTTTTATTTTAAAATTTTTCTACTAGCCTTTCAATTTAATATGAATTTCTTTTATAGCCTTAAATCTTATTTTGTCCAATCATCCGCACATTAATATTCCTAAGGAGCAATTATTACTTCTTAACCAATTCACACAGAGAGGTATAAACTATAAAAGTTGTAGGACCGATAGTTTATCGTTCTCTCATGCAGTCACTCTCGCTGCTAATCGCGTGGTTTACGGGCCCCAAAGTCATTCCGTGCGAAACTCGAGTGCAGTTTGTGTGCAGTTTCCGTTTCCATCCGTGATGAGTGGAAACTTTGGTCAGGCTTCTCTCTCCGTTTCGGTGCAACCGTTCGCTTTAAAACACCCGGGATTTGTTTTAAACTTCATTGCGATTTTCTTCTTCGAGTCTCAACGCGCGGGACTAATTCTTCGTCCGCTTCGTACGTTTCAGGTCTCTTCGTGCGAGAGCGCCATAATTTTCGAGAACTACTTAAAGCTGCCTTAAACAGGCGAGCCTGAAAACTTTTCCTAACGACACAACAATCACGAGAACTCCCACCGCGACATTGATGCTGATATGTAATGAAGATTCGTGCTTCCATTAGGCGATTAAAATTAGGGAAGAATTTTCTGAAGTTTCTTTCATCGTATAGATAACTTTGCCATTACATTATATCAAATGACAGCTCATTTAACCGTTTAATATTTCTTCCCCGTTTTCGGGATGTAAACCGACGTCGGTTATTCTCGTTCCGATATATATTTCTCTATAGCTTCAACATTCGTCATATCAAGAATACGGAGACATATCGTATGTCTGAACCAGATGTATGGGTAAATAATTTACGAGGCGATCGCTCGGGTTGTCAAAGGTGCAGGTGAGTAATGGCGGAAGTACTCACGGGAGATGGGATCCGCGCCATCGAGCTTCCTGTCGGAGGCGACGTTCTCGTGTGCGGCTTCCTTGCTCGTCCTTGGACGACATCCAGCGACTAGGTTCGGCTCGTTGCCGTTGGCGACTCCCTCCTGGTTCTTGTGCTCGTTTCGTAGGTGATCGTTTCTCTCGTTCGGCTTGCAGGCACCGCCGCCAATTCCGACCTTCGACGACGGTTTGCAGTTGATACCGCCCGGGCTCCCATTAACATTCGCGTTAATGTTGATGTTGCTATTGCCGTTGGTCGATACGTGATTGTCGGCCTAAATGGCACACAAAACGATCGTAAATTGCAATCTCTCGACGGTATTTACAGACTATTTTAGTTATTTTACAAGTCATAAAAAACTCTAAAGAGAACGTTCATGCGAGGATAACGTTTTATATGATAAATTCATTTAAAATAATTAAACATTAGAAAGGCTCGTGAGCGTGAAAGGATGAGAATAGAATACCTCTTTTAATAATTCTTTAATCTTAATGAGAAAAAATTAAAAGTTATTTTAAAAGTAAATAAAAATAGCGCCCTGAAGTTGTAACGTTAAGAGTCGATCTTTTTATAATTGTAAAAAAAACAATGTATATATTGTTTACAGAAAAAAATAAGCGATAATGCAGAAATTGCATGATATCGCGACACTGAATCGTGGCAAAACGTCCTTCGCGACGAGGAGCGATCTATCCTCTTTAACCCTTTACATCGGAACGAGGCGAGGCTCGTGGTACCACCTGCCACCCATTCCCAGCTATAATTGAAGTTGTCTCGTTTCGTATTGTAAAGCTATATAGGCGGCAGAGTTTTTTTTCTCGCACGCGCTGCACCGGTTGGAAAGGCAAGTCTTTTATTCTGTAAGTACTTCGTTGCGAGACTAACTCGGGATCTTTCCCGAAGACATCTGTCCTACCGCCGACAGAGGTAGAGAGAGAGACAACCTGTCCCGCACTTTCTTCCCCCGCATTCAGCGATCATTTGACCTTTTACCGCCGACACGTTTTTAGCAGCAACTTTCCTAATACGACTTTCACGTTTAACGTGGTAGTTAAATCGAGGTAACATCGGCAGACAATTTACCAGATAACAGCTCACGAATGGGAATTAATTAACCGATTTGTAGTCCCCGTATCGAATATCTACGTTGTAAATAGCGTCCTCTCGTATTTAACGTAAAGTCCTAAATAATATTTCTGCCGAGAAACGCGGTCGAGCGTTTGTTAGTGATAATTTGCAGAACAAAAATTTCTAGACACACAGTTTGAAGTGCTCGACTGCGAACTCCACTCAAAGGTCGGATTAATCTCTGCAATTCTATGCCACGATTTGTTTTCCCCGCAAGCGTTAACTCGCAAAAGTAAAATGGACATAACGGATTCAATTTCCAGGTTAGTTAGTGTACAGAATCCATGTTATAACAGACTCGTAAAGTAAACATGGGCAGGGGTCCCTGAACAAGCTAAACCAACCCTACAACGGGTTCTACAACTCGCGATTCGTTCGGTTAAGCACGTGTAAAGGTCGTGCGTCGTTCTCACCGAGCTGGTCATGCAGGTGGACGAGGTAGACGAGCGCACAACGAGTATCCTGTTCTGGTTGTGATCGTTGGAGGCGATTGTGGAGACGGCGGCGTGATTGACCAAAGCGTGGGTGTCATTGGTGCCCGTTGGGCTGGAGTTGACATTGCCGGTGGTGGCGACGCCGCCGCCACCCAGGGAGGTCTGTCTGATTACCAGGAGGCTGCCCGCTGGCTCCAGCACGACTACCTGCCTCATCCTCGTCGCGTGGCTCTCCGCCGGTCTGTCCTCGCCGAATGCGAGAGAACGCACTCTCTTCCCGTCTGCTCGTCGACGACGACGGCGACGACGATGACGTTAAGCGTGTCGTTCTCCAGCACGACACGTTCTCCGGCTCTTAAAGCTCCCACTCGTCCGCTGCCGCCTGCTCCTCCTGCGCGCACAAACACATCCAGGCTGATATTAAAGCTGTCGTTTTAGGGGATGATCCTACCCGTCCGCGCCCACACCCGCTTGCCGCCGCCGCCGCCCCGACGCGGATCTACACGCCCGCTTTCGTTCGTAACCGCGCGAGCCCGACCGTACCGGCGTGGCTTCTTCCGGAAGGCGAATCGATGGGATTATTTCTGCCGACACCGTCGACGAGCTCGGCCCGACGACTCCTCTGCCTCCTCTTTCAATAAGGCAGCACTCGCGGCACACCACCTTGGTGTCAAAGTAGCGGGCGTGTGCGCGGTTTAAACTAAGGTTGGGTCCAGAAGCTGCCGGCTTTTAGATAATGGCCCGCTGCACATTCAATGCTCTAATGTGTCCCGCTTTTTCACCGAGCGTTCATACTTGTAGCGGGAGATCGATCGATCTTGTCTAAGAAATTTAATTGAGAGACTCATCATCGCTGGATGACTTTGCTACGAAAGGAAGATTAATTCATGTTAAATCCCCGCGTAAGAAAGGGAAAAAGTCTTTAAATTCTATTGGTAATACGTATAATTTGTGGCATCTGCATTTAAAAGAATTTTATCACACTCTAACACGTTTGCCACAATATAATGAATTGATGTATTTCTTTCGAAAACATAAAGTGTATAGACAGCGAAAATTTAAAATATTTGTAGATATACCTATTTATATACGGGATTGGTGAAATATATCTTACTTTGACCTCGGTTTTATTGCAATCTAAAGATCTGGTCACACATCCTAGTTTAAAGTCTGGTGCGATTTTCTCATTTTCTCGGTTCGCCCGAGCTAAGGAATTTGTTTTCGAGATCTCCGAGCCCGTAGCAACAGGAGATCTCGAAGGAATCGCGGCTTAAAATTGGATGGGTTTTGTTCGGAACCATTTGTGACCGTGTCGTAATACTTTGTGATACGTCGTGAAATAAACAGGAAGAGAGAGAAAAATTTTTAAAACTGAAACCACTAAAGAGACCAAATGTTTAATATATATACATATCTATAATGTTTTAAAGTTTCTAAATTCAAAAAAACATGATGCCAATTTATAATTTAATTCATAATGTATTATATATAATGTATATAGATTATAAATTTAATTATAATTATTTAAATAGATTTATTTATTTAATATTTCTCTGTCATTTACAATAACAAATAATAAATCTTAAAATTGTAATATTGTAAAGAATTAATAACCTATTAAAAATGTTCTAGTACATTAATATTTAACAAAACAGAATCAGAATATAGCGTTTCACACTATGATGATTCTGTTTTGTTTTCGTATAAAATAAGAAACAAACATTATTTAAGTTAAGTACTTGAAACTGTTCCAAGCTATTATTGTATTAGTAATCTGATAAAAAGGTAGGAGTGTCTTTTGTATAGTCAAAGTGCTCGTGAGTTATAATATGATCAATTCTAATGGAGAGAACGATTTTCGATCCATTAGCTTAAAATAGAAAGTAGAAAGGTAAAAATTATCGAAGAATTATCTGGCAAATTTCCACAGATTTATTTGAACACACAATAATTTTTACGTGAAGTAGCAAAATTATTCATCCTCGTGGACTCCACGGGATTACTTAAGGTTGGCATAGTTATAAATGCATTTCTTGGCCGCCACTGTCACATATCTGCTCGGCGAACAGAAGTATATCATTGCCAATTTCCTCGACAGCGACTCTAGCTACTTAGAAGAAAAAAAATCCCGACGTTCTATAGAAGCAACAGCAATAAACAGATTTATACCACTTATATCATATACCGTTCCAATTTTATAGAAATTATAAATTATTATATAATATAAGTAATTTTATTATATAATAAAAAATAATTTTTATTTTTATCTGGTCTAGAAATTGATACTTGATGAACGTTCCTGAATCAAGAACATATACGTGCGAGGGGGGCAAGCATTTCTGAAATAACTAGAAATATGATCGGTGAGATAAGAAAGAGCAGATAAGAAAAAATAAATCAGACGTCATTCACTTTATTTGAAACTCTCTTCAGAAATAGTAACCGCGGGGATGCGTACAACACCTGATATAATCTGTCAAGCCTTCCTCACGATGACGCGCGGCTCGTCACGTTCCGTGATAAGTGCACGCCGTATATTTTAATAAGAATTAATGTCATTCGCTTGGCGTGCCTTCAATAGGCATTAAATATACAGGGTGAATGTTAAAGGCGAGTAAATATCGCGGTCATTCATGTATGGAGCCGTATCGAGCGCGCGCGTAGCGGATATCTGCCGGTACAACGGCACGTGCAGTAATAATAGAACCGTCGCGTCGCCGGTGCATTCACACGCGGAGGATATCCGCCCGTTACTGTCCTATAGCACGTTGAGCACACAGCTTACCGTCTAGACTTATGTATCTGTGTTCCGATCGTCATAAGATTAGATCTCGAATTTTAATCGGCGGATCCGAAGTGTCTCGGCAGAAACTCGCGCGAACGGAACTGAGTTAACGCCGATCTCGAATCGCATAGACGTTTGCATGACGATCGAGCGATGGGAAGGTTGACCGATGCAACTCGAAGAAAAGATGCCGAGGTAAAAATTCGTCCGAGAAAATATCCTCCGAAAATTCTCGAATTTTCTGTCTCGTCATTTGGACGTTTTTAAAAAGAATATAGCTCCTGCGCTTTTTTATAGTTAACAATAAAAGCGTGAATTTGCATAATGTCCTTGGTTTTATTCCTTTACGTGCATCTTTAATAAAATGGTTGTATAATAAATTGATCACGTAATGAAAAAGCGATGATAAAGCATATTCCCTCGTGCAATTGCTAAGTGATATTTACATGGCTTCTTTAGGCTTATTAAACGGGTAATCACACGTGTTCCAGGTACGCATCCGAATTATTATTACATAAGTCGATATGCCGTCATGAAATCAAGAAATTTTCATCTGTCAACCGGACCGTTCTCTCGCGCGAGCAAAATTAAATGCATCTGTTAATACACGCTGTGGATTACACTTGTCACTTGTAATCCTTAGCCTCGCCGTGCGCGTCACGTGTAATCCCGGGGATTTATGACTTGCAGACCGTGCTTTTCAAGTTAAATTAACACTAAAGATGATTAAAGAATTGCGATTAAAAAATGACAGTGGGCAAAAACTGTTAAAAAAAAAAAAGATTTCACATTAAGAAAGAACGTCGCGTATGCTGCATGAAAAGCAGACTCGCTCTGTGACTCGATTAAATTTATCTATATCACAAAAGCTTTGCAGAAATATAATAATTTTCCCGTCGCTAATGCCGCCTCGCGTGAAATAAAATCTAACACGTCAAAAACCCCGTGACGTGAATGAGAAAGAACACCAGTGAATGAATAAAATCTAACGATGTCAATAATGACGTATAAATAAAAAGGGGACATTAAATGCGACACATTTCTCTCATCGCGCTTTCGGAACGAAACGCGGAATACTTCCACGACCGCCATGCCTCGGCCAGCTTCGTGCCAATATCGTTAACCGGAAAATCGCATGTAGGTGACTACGCGTTCAGATCGATCGATCTCCAGAGGCACCCATATGTTGCGCACGTCTTCCAAAAGCGAAACCGCCGCGCTACAGGGACCGTCGCAGTTTGACGTTTATGAAGCACGGATATTAAAGAACGCGTGCAAGGTAGCGAGCTAAAAAAAGAAACCTGAAAAGATCGACTAGGAAACTTTCGATCGAATCTCGAGCATCACTCCATAGCGAATTTTCTTCCATTAATCACCTAAAGAATTTATCATTCGCTTACGATATAAATCCTTCCTTACCAATCTATTAAGATTTCACGTCATAAACTTTTTATGTAAGGCGGAGTAATGGAAAATATTGCGAAAGTATGACGACAAAATAATTTTCTAATGGCAAACTATATTTTCGTTAAAATTTTAAATTTAATGGTAAAGATTAAAATTTTAATTTTAATGATTATTCGACGACATTTTGAATCCTTCCTTATATGTATAAAGTAATTATTTTATGTAATAACTATTAAATATGTATATATATATTAAGAAAACTATTTGATTTACTCACAAGTCACTTTGAAGCACTGATTTTGTTAGCAAAATTCAAGAAAAGAAGTATTTTAGCATGTTGCTACAAGATATCTAAATATTAATTGAGCACACAGAGAGTGTAATCAGCTGTCGAGCACATAGCTTTTGATACATCAGTTATATTCCTGAGTAAACGTCAGTTTCTAAATAGTTAGTTAGGAGTCTGAGATATTCTAAAGTGATGTTTCTATACGCGTTCCTAGCTATACTAGTTGTTACTACCGTTTTCGAACGTGCCATTAGAATCCCAGGCGGCAGGAAACACGCCGTCAGTCTTGATAACAGCTGATTACGATAAACTTATTGAGATAACAAGTCCAGTTTCGATGGGATACAAAACACGTTGATATTACATCGATATCAACGTACGAATAAACGTTTTTCTCTTGTTTGAAAGTTGTTAACCAACGGACACGTGTGCAATTGTATATTCAAGACTTGTTACTTTCTTTCCACGAGAATTTAAAGACTTGTCACATAAAAGAGCTAACTGCTAAATAAATTCTCATTTCCAGCCATCCCTCGCATCGATTCGAGTGTCTTCGCGCAACAAGAAGACTCGAGAAAAGAAGTTCTTGCTTCAATAAGTCAAGGCAGTACGACCAAGGGATTAACCTTGTGTTCTGAAAATATTATTCTTCACGAGGGTCTTCCAGTCCTTAAGGGACGTATCTACAACGCGGGTGCTGTTATAGAGGAGATTATATCGCGTCCGCGTTAACAATCCATGACGTTTGCATTATGAGAGGCGATGACAAAGATTTCTTAGAGCAAAGAATTAATCATAAAATGGCTAAATTTTAGCACAAAAAATTAATAGAGTGAAAAAGGGAAAGAAGCATAAATTAAGTCTAAATTGCCGAAAATTATCTTTACGCAAGAATTATTTCTCTGTTTATTTGCGATCGAGATATTTAAAGCTCAAGCAAGATTTTGAGATTCCCAGAATAATTAAATATGGAATAGTTAATGAGAAAATATATATTCTGTTCGCCTGTAAATATTCTGCATGTATAATTAAAACCATATAATATTAAAATGTAATATGTTAAAGTATAATATTAAATGTATGTTACAAAATATATAAATATTTTTGAAAAAGAAATTATTTTACGGACATTATGACGGAAGATTGCAACTTAGATTTAGTTTACCTTCAGATTGATTTGACCCTGAGACAACAAATACACAATAATTTACATGACATTTATTTTTCGTTATAGCCACTGCCTCGAAAACTAAATTTATTACACGAGCGATAAGATATCAAACTTACACGCGAAACTCTTTTAAAGCGCGAGCATGACTCCGACTTTTTCCGAACAGGAATTATCTTTCAAAAATATACTCGTCCTTGAGAGATAAAAATCCCATTTATCACAATTGCATAAAGTTTGCGGAATATCGTCTATTATATCCTGCGCATCAATGCAATAACAGGTCGCGCGTTAACAAAAACATTAACGATATTTTCAATTTGCACAGTTTTAATCGGCGAGTACGAGCGAGAGCGCGCGCGCGCGCGATTATTAATCTTCCTGAACTAATATTTAAATAGGAACTTGTTTATAATACGCTTGTAAAAGCTCACTTTTTTAGTTTCTATTTAGGAGCACTAAAAGCTTTTAATTCAAAATATTTATTTTGTTATTTAGAATTATATTCTGAGCGGAGTTATAGAGTGCTGCGTGAAAAACACGACGTGTACAATGAATTCCCGATTAGTAAAACCTGATTGTTCTCTCGGATCGATCGAAGTCGGTAGGAATCTGGCACGCTGCAGAACGATCTTCGTGTTCAGCGAAATTCAACAGCGTTCCCGCCAAAAGTTGACGCCGCCAACGCGGTGGAACGTGCCCGTCGCGAATCGTCCGTCGTGGATTATCCGTCCCGAATCCGCCCGCGACCAATATGGTCCATATGGTCGCCGCACGTGCCCGCGGACAAAACGCGAGATTCCTACCTCGCGGGGCGGCGGCGGGTTTACGGTATGCGCTAAAAATAGCGGCGACCATAAAGCCGCCACGCGGACGGGCGAAGCCGCGGGCGCGACGGCGACGTCGCGACGTCGCGGCGACGTACACATTATACCCGCTCGTCGTTCGCCCGTGTCTCGTATTAGGCGCGCACTCGATTCTCACTACAATACATATCCCGTTTTCCCCTCTATTTACCAGGGCTTGGGGATGCTCTAGACGATTTAATAACGCACAGAAAAAAAAAACAGAGAGAAAAAAAGCGAGGCGTGACGGAGATGCTATACTCACAGGGTCCGTGCTCCGAATGAGAACAGAAGGCCCGTCGCCGATGAGGGTAATCATTTCGGCACGCCGCGCTTCCCGGTGCGCGGCGTCGCGTCAGCGTGACTCTCTCCCGGGCGTCTCTCTCAGCAGCTCGTTCACCAACGGCGGCGACGACACCTTCCTCCGCGCGACGATACCGCGACGCTCATGATCGACGACGGTGACGATGACGACGACGACGACGACGACGACGACGACGACGACGACGACGCCTGGTCCACGACGACGACAGCGGCGGTCGACACCGTCCGATTGCGCTTCCTCGTGCACGTCGGACCAACGTCCGTCGGGCTCGGCGTGCGTGCGTGCGGTGCGTGCGATGCGTGCGATGCGTGCGATGCGCGACACTCTCACGCAGGGAATCGCGCGATCACGCGTGCCCGCGGCGGCCGCGGTCGATCCTCGGAATCCATGACAGGTATACGCGCGACACGTATACGTTGTACGTGCACGGAGCGGAGCGGAGCGAGGCGAGCGTGGACCGCATGCGCCGCTCCGCCGAGGTAAGAGTCATCGCGCTCCCGTGCCGTACGCGGACGCGCCAGGGCGGACGTAGACGAGAAAACTCGCGGGCGGAAATTTCAAAGCGGTTTCCCGCCGCGCGCGCCAAGTTTCCGCGGAACCGCGGCCGGGCAAAACGACGTTTTAATTCCCACGCGCCGCGAACGTGAACGCGAATAAACGTCGGAGCGTATCCACGATCGACGACGCGATGGCGATTGCAGCACGTAATCGCGAGGATTCGAGTCACGTAGATGCCCCGTGTCGACAAACGACGCGCGACGAATCGCTTAGGATGGCCACGATTTGGACCGCCGAAAATAGAGATACCTGTCGCGCGACAAACGAGACGCGATCAAATAACCTAGCTGGAACGGCTACAAATCGTATCGTCGAGAAATATCGCACTACCTAATAAAGTTCGTATATAATTATCCAAATTGTGAGAATTCACGCTCGAATTATGAAAAGTTGACGCAGATAGAACTGTCACTTGCTCGTATTGTCTCTATATTGTTCTATAACTCGTACACTTTTCCAATATATCGGTGCTATAGCACCTTTGGATCCTTGAACGCGTCGTAGTTCAAAATGTCCGACATAGTACCACTCTCGCACGCGTCGCGCGCGTATCGATATCTCGATACGAGCGAGTAGCGCGCATTTCGGAGCCGAAGTTTTCGAGAATATTTTCAGTTTTTTAATTGGACGCACTAGTGCATATTAAAATCGTACATAAATCGACGTAAAAATGTATTTTTGTCTGTCTCATTCACATTTTCTTTATTTACAAATGTCATGCAAGAAACTCTAATGGCCGTATTGACTTTAAATTTCTTTTTTCAGACCCAAATAATTCCGTCTCGTCGATCATATTGGAAATATTTTTTTTGCGAATCTGAAATTGTAAATAAATACCAATTTGAGATTAACATTTTAACGTTGAACGATCCATTTATCATGTTCTTCATCCCGAAAATAACACTTGTCTTTACTTACGCTTTATAATCTTCAATGTATGACAAAATATCATTGCAAATTGTGAACATTTTATTGACATTACATTTTATTGACTTTGATGCGTGATATTTTTATGCGTTATATTGCGAGTTAATTTTATTGCGCATTAATAATGAGGATAATAATTTAAAGAAAACGGGATAATTAAATTTAACGCACGATAATTTATTTTACACATATATTTCATTACGCATTCGAGCGTTCTTTTAGAGAGACAAAATCAATCACGCTCGTACAATCGATCAATGCTTCTTTCTACTTCTTATTCTCATGCACGAATAACAGGTTATAAGCATTCTACATTTCATTGAGCGCATCGAATGATCCGTAGCGCATAGATTTGGTCAGTTCCGTTCAAACTCCGGTACCAGAAACTTCATATATCCTTACACAAGAAATGAGTAATTACAATTCGCGTATATATAAGTTAATACATAAACAATACAGAAATTCGTGATATGCTTCGAAAAAAAAAAAAAAAAAAACATTCGTTATGTATAGCAATCCTACAAATATATTATATTTCTTGATTACAGAAATATAGATCATCCTCACTATATTCCTGACTATATTAATTCCAAGAATAGGAGTTCTTTAATTACTTAGCTTGAAATAATATAATACTAAAAATCTGTAATGATATCGTTTCGACGCAAAAATGAAGAAAAAGTAATAAAAATCTCATTGAGTGATTTATGTAGATACATATAAACAATCCATGATCAAATCTAATTATCGTAATAATCAATAACATATGTTCCATTTAAAAAATTAACAAAATCTGATTATACCTCATACCATTCACCACAGTAGGGTGCAATATCGCAACTAAGAATCAACTTGAAAAAAAGTGGATGACATGAAAAATTGGCACAAAGGAAATAATCCGATTATCATGATATTCATTTGATATACTTTTTCACACAAGTTGGATCCTATTTTTATTTTTACGTTTTGAAATTTTTTCTTCTAACAAATAAAAACGAACGTCACTCTTGCTAGTACACTATACAACATAAAAAAAAATGTCCTGCTATACAGAAATTTTGTGCTGACAATGGAATTCTTCTTTCGATACATTGTCGCTACGTATCGTGCAAGATTTCGGAATTAGCCATCCGAATAATTTCAGATCGTTGCCTCGAATATGCGCTACAATGAAATAATAACGAGAAATAGCCAATATCGATACTCGTAGTCGTGACTTCTGTATTGAGATTACTTCTTTACAATTATTTTACGCCCCGAGCAGCGAGTAGACTCGGAATCATTAACACCGCGTCTCGTACAAGCCGCTGCGGCCAATGTAACGGACCCACTTTATCACGTCGTGATCGGAGTAATTCAATTTGGACTCGAACACTTTCAAGTAGCGCACTTTGAAGCCGGACGGCGCAAACGGCACCTCGAAATTCATCGATATCGGCGGCCTCGTCCATTTCTTCTTCGTGTCCGTCTCTAGCAGATCAATCTCGGCGGACAACTGCGTCTCCTTCATGCCGGCCATGCGCTTGATCTTCCAGACAATCGCGTTCTCCGACGCTTTGTATTTCGCCTTACCCTTCAAACATATCAGCTGTACGCCGGCAGTATTCAACGGCGTCGGCACGCGCACTTCTATCTTCTGCCCCAGCAACGAGGGCTTGAAGTTTGATTTCAGAACCGCTTTGACTTCCATTTTCGTTCGGCCCACCTCGCGCACCAACGGTATCACGCGGAAGGGCAATGATATATCCTTTGTGGTACGATATCTGTGAATAGAATAACAATTCTTCATACACTGGAACTACAATTATTTTCGCGATCGTGTCTCACCTCATCAGCTCGAATTCACCATCCGGCGGTATAAAACTAATGGAATGTTCGGTCTCGAATTTGCTAAGCTTAACGCACTGATGGAATTGGCAGTCATCAATAACGACAACCGGTTTGCCAGATCTAGCGCCCGTGGGATCGTCGCCGCCGCCTCCCAATCCGCCGCCTCCTTTCATACCCTTAGCCTCCATAACGATCTTGTCGTTGATCCCAAACTTGCACTCCGGCATACCGGACAAGTAGGATTTCATTACCACCTGAAAAAAATAATTTTTTTTAAATCAGAAATTTACGAAAGTCCTGAAGTATTAATTTTTCTTTAGAGAATTTACCTTTCCGGCAACATGCGCGCTGAGAACCTGACCCTGAGGGCTCATCAATAGATTCACGTATTCAAGTACATCCAAGAAGAGCTCATTACGCCTGTACTTGATGCCCTCTCGCCTCCATCCGATCTGGCCAGTGACTTGCGATGTTATTTGAGCTTGCTCTTCCTTGGTGGCTGATTTCACGCCTTGTTGAGTGATAAATGTCTTCAACACCCCTGTATCACAGTTCTGTGGATATCCAAAGTCAAGTATCTCTGTAAAAAAAAAAAAAAACAAGATACTAAAGTTAGGAAAAGCCAAGGAAAAAGCCATGTAGAGTTATTAAAGTACAGTAATCAAACTTTAATACTAACCATCGAGCAGCTCGTAAATAAGCACGAAATTATTCTTGATGTTCTCCTCTGAAATCTTGCCGAAATATGATTGCATAACATCTATGATCTTTAGCAGCAGCTCGAATACCATAGCCGCGTTGACATTTTGTTTCGTGACAGCGGCTAACCAAATGTTAGCGCGCTTTATATGGAAAAACGATGTTCTGGCAATGTTGGTTACAGGCGAGCGTACTTGCTGTCGCGCGTGGATGACATTGACGCGAAACGCATCCACTGCGTTACGGCCAATATCATCCCGATACACCCGGGAGATGAGCACCTCTCCCTTGTGATTGTAAACAAATAGACCCCCTATCATCTTGACAGAGGGGGCAAAGTTAGCCTTTCAAGTCAAAATCAATCTGCAACAAAAATTACTTGTGATTAATACATTGAAGATCCTAACAAATTTAACGTTATTACGAGTGCAAACACTAATGTAATAAAATATTTTATTTATGATTCAGTTTTTTCGAGGAATACGTCGACAAATCTGTAACACAGAATTACAAATGTGATTCCCAATTTTTGCTGGGAACATGATAAAATCAATAAAACGTCCCAAAACATACGGTCCAAAAATAACTCGGGGACCACGGCATATCAAGTAAAAAGGAGATAAACAATAATCTGGCATTTACAAAAATCTACCGATAAGAAACGTCTCGCGACGCTCGGCGAGTGGAGTCCTGAATTAGATACGGATGTAGAAGACATTCGCGATACGTGCGGCTCGCGAAGGCGCGCACGTATCGCGCGAGAGAATTTTAAGAGTTCGTCGGGGCACTCCGTAACGTAATGACAGACGAAACGCCCCGTTTGTCAAGTGACACTTGGAACCGTCCGTCCGTCCGGTATGTCTTGCGAACGGTTAGTATTATCGATCGTACGTGTACGGACCCCCGCCTAACCCTTCGCGTCCAAGTTCGCCGCCGCGGTTCTCGCGATGCCGGCGGCGTCGAGGAACGCGGACTCGAGTTTTCACTTACGCATGACTCCCCCCGGAGGATGGGCCAGTCAGGATTTCCTGCCTGCGATTCCGCTCTGCCGTTAAACGTGGCGCGATACCCTCCACGCTCGGTTCCAAGTTGACGGGACGGCTGACGGAAGCAACACCCACTTTCCGATATCGCCGAGGCGCCGTGGACTACGTGGACGCGCTAGATCCGTCAGCGGCGTCAGCTGGACGACGAAGAAGGTAGAGGTGCCACCTAGAGCCACGCTCGTTCTCGCAATCGTACAGGAAGACCCGCTATCGCTGTCGGTAATATACAGACTGTTGTCCGAAGCGCGCTTTATGTGCGCGAAGAAATATTTATTATATTTATTTATCTTTATTATTTTTCATTTATAAAGAAAAACTTGTAATGTATTATTATTTATTATTATAAATTATATTTTATTTCTTTGACGCGTTTTTAACGTACGTTTTTTGAATCACTATATTTTTATTATTATCTCTCATTTTATATATATGTATAAATTAAATATTATAGAATTATACATTATTGAACAAATTATCACGTATCAAAATTGATAAAGGAATTGTATTTAACGGATTTAAAAATTATAATACACATTGCGATTATTGTTGTTCCTGCGTTATTTGCTTCGTTCGAACTTGACACATTTGCAATAATTTCCATTGTAATTACTTCGATTGTGAATGAGCTGGCGTTTGATCGTTATCCTTCGATTTATTTTTCCGCCTGTAATAAGAAAAAAATTGTTTATCAAATCGATTATATATATATTATATATAATTATATATTTCTTTTATCATATATTTCTTAAATTTTTTCGCACTGAGAAGACCGAGATCAATTAAAATTTTATGGTATCGGCAACGAAATTCACGTCAAATGGTGTAATCTTTTGTTCCTGTTAAATTCAGAATGGAATTCATTTCCGCCGCTCCTTCGTAATTTTCAAGGAAGCATAGACTCACAGTCAGCCGTTCTCCTTTCAAGGCCGCGGAAAACAGTTCCTCAATGCGTCACAGCTGCATTTCCGACCTTGTCCGATGACAATGGCAAGCGTCGTCGTTTTTTCAGTTTCCACGACGATCAGGTCCTCCTACACGGGCGATTCTCCCGCGGGTAAATTCTCCGCAACGGGAACGCGAAACGCACGCGCGCGGAATAACTGCAGCCACAGCTGGTTTTGTCTCGAATATATTTTATTATACATACATTAATGAAAATATATACATGGTAGACTGCAGCTTCTCGAAGCAGCGAAGTGTCAATATAATTAGCTACAGTATTCGTACGCGAATCTGTTTTATCTTACTTTTTTTTGCATTTTTCTTTTCTTTTTCTTCTTTCTCGACAATGTCCTCTCGATAAGCCGAGATTGTCGAGGGTTGTCGGGAGGCACGTGTAGGCCGACACGTGTAGACCATGGCTGTTGTTGTTGTTGTTGTTGTAGTAGTTGTTGTACATGAGAAACGTTTTTTGGAGTTTTTTTCGTTTATTTCATAAAATAAACGGCTGATTGATAACGGACCGACCCGATACATTTCGAATCGTCCTCGGTATGTCGCGGCTAAAAAGGCCACGTTCCGTATTCACGCTTTTTTTTTGGCGCTTACAGCGTTCATCAGTGATCATTTTACCCTTGTTGCTTAGGAAATGTTAAACAAGGGCAAATCGTGCTCACGGCGCGTGAGCGTTAAAACGGAACGCAGCCTAATTTACAAGACTGACCGCGTCAATCCGTCCGATACACGCAGCGGATACCGAGATACTTTCGCTGACTTCAATTAATATCTTTATCTCCTCTCTCTCTCTCACACACACGCACGCACACGCACACACACACACGCACCCTTTCGCCCTTTCATTCTTTACTCTCGCTCGCATTCTCTCTTTCCCGCGCTCGCGCTCGCTCCCTTCTTTCTCCTCTCTCCGCTTCTCGTTTCCTATTCACAGCCTTCCTACTCAGACCTAATCAGCTTTCTCTCTTGCACAGCCAAACACTTGCACGATCACTCAGCGGCATCAACGCTTCGATCATCTTATCCTCTTAATTAACCGTTACAACACGATTCAACGGTGACAACTGCGGATTATTACAATTGATTAAACTGTAAGTGGCGATCATCGAAAGTGTGTTGACGGTACTTCGTTCCCCCGGAGTTTCGCGGAAATTCAGACAAGAGTACCGCGAGTCTGAAAAGTGTCTCTTCGTCCGAGCGAATCCCGCAACGTCCAAGTCAAAGGGAATATTTCCCGACCAAGGCTCTCGGCGCCTCTCGCCGGCTGGTCGAAGTCGCGCGGGCTGACGCAACGCGATTTAACGAACGGACGATGATATACCCGGTCGACGGCGGGTTTACGACGACTAAATTGTAATTAGATTAAATTAACAGATCGTCCCTCCGCGAGTCTCCTCCGGCCGCCGGATATCGGTCGGCGCGGCCCCGCCGCCCGGGCCGCCCGGATGCCGCGCTTGCACTTTGGTTTCAGTCAAACATCGTTCTACGTTAGCGTTACAATCTGTCTGCGCGCGGGAGAGCTCGCGCTCTATCACGGGATTAGCACATCGTAACACACATTTCAGGCACTGCGATTGACTTTGTAATTTGAGTTTTTTTTTTTTATAGCTCGCGCATCGGGCGGCGGGAACCGACCGCGCGGGAACCGTCGGGCGGAACCCTCTCGCGTTCCTCGCTCGTTCCGCGAATTTCGTTCCTGAGCTGCCGCTAAAAAAAAATTCATTCGACGCGAGAGACGTTCCGTCCGTTCTCTTCTCAGAGAAGATTCGCGCGGTCGAATCCGCCGGGTGGCCGCGACGCGGCGGACGATTCCGTTCCGGAGGAGAGCTCGGAGGGAAAGCACAATAATGCACGTACCGAGATTCGGCGCGAGAGGTCGAAAAGCCTTGCGGACAGCGCGCGCTGTTGTACGTGTTGATGTGTATGTGTGTGTTTCGGTGTGTATGTTTCGTGTACATGTGTCCTGCATCATCGCGGTTACGTCATGCGCGCGTATAATCGTACATCGCTTATAATTATTAACCTGACTTCGAACGACACGTTTACAATGATCACGTTATTCCACTAGGGATGACATGCAGCGTATAAAACATATCTTATCTATATATTTATTTACTGTTGTATCATATACCTAGGTTGCCGCATCCGTTATTTTTTTTTTCTGTTACACGCTATATACTTCAATATATATACGCGATACGTCTCTTACACGCTACCAAAGGATTAACAATCGATACTTCGTGTTTCTTTCTTCCCCCTCTCGCTTTTTGCTTAACGCGACGACGCGCCGCGTCGCGATTATTAACCGGGTTTACGATTCACGAATCAAAGACAGAGGAAGAAAAAACGAAGGCGCGTTTCGCGTCTGACGGATATTGCACTTCGAAACTGGACCGCTTTTAAAAATTTCGCTCGTCGGTCTTCGACCGGCCATTAAACGCGTTCAAAATGCGTCCGCGGCTTTCTTTAGTAAAAATCTGGCAAGGGTACGCTTTCTAAAAATATAGCCAATGTATGTATGTATGTATGGTATGTGCGCGCGTGCGCGCGCGTATATGTGTTGCGTTGTGCAGTGTGTCTTTTATATTCAAAATAAATTATGTCGATTCGAAACCCAAATCCGCCGTGAAGTTCCGTCGCGAGAACTCTCGGAGATGCTACGCTGTGGAATTTCTTTCGTGTGTGACAATCAAATGGAAAATCGTAATCCACGTGTACAGGGGTTGCTCGTCTTCCCGTGGTCCGTTTCCCGGGGCCTCGGGGAAACCCACGTTCGACTATATGTGTTTCACATCTTGTTACGAACGCTCGCTCGTCTCTTCGCGGCGCTACAAACGCGCCCGCGAAGGTCCTCCGCGACAAATCGGCTGCTTCATCGAACAATACCGTGATCCGAGATGATGGCGCCGATCTTGCGATCGGGGCTCCTTACAAGCACTGGGTCGGAGTTTAAACGTCTTTTCTGTTTATTTTGTTTGTTTGTTTGTTCCTCACCATCGGGCACATTCGTCACTGTAGTCACGGCGTATCCGGGATCAGTTGTGGGGCGAAGATCGCGCGCGGAGGTCCGCCGAACCGCCGCTCTTCGTCCGATACGTCCGTGATACTTCATGATACTGCCGCCATTCCGTTTTTTCTTTTTTTTTTTTCTTTTAAACCTAGGCTTAAAAAGTAAAAACGCCAGCGCCGTTCGCCGCCGGCACGAAGTTAATCGGTTTAACACATTAACGCTTTGATTCGTTTGTCAGTCTGTGCTCTCCTAGTCCATGACAAGTTACAAAAAAAAAACAAAAAAGAAAACAAGAATAAAACGGAGAAAAGAAATAATAGAATAGATGTCCGGGCTGTCGAGGAGAAGTGGTGTTTACGTTTTACACGGGTACTCGAGGATACGATACACGGGCGTAAATACCGTCTGCCCGCGAATCGATGTAAAATGCATCTCTCATCGCGCGCCAGCGCTGTAAGCCGCGCCAGCGGCGGTCGAGTCGTACGAGTCTTCAAAGACGATACTCGAGCGTCCTCCACCTCCTCCTCCTCCTCATTCTCACTCTCCGTCTCGAGTGTCCACGATCACAAATACATCGAAATTTCTGTCGTTAAAAGTTGAAAGTTGTGCGCCTTTGTTGCGAAAAATTTTCCGCGACACGCATTCTTCTTTGTTTCTCTCTCTCTCTTTCTCTTTCTCTTTTCCTATTTTCTTCTTCTTTTTCGTCTCTTTTTTTTTTTACGAAAGGAAAGAAATTCGTAGGTGTCGCTCGGTAATCACGGTACGCGCGATCCGTTAATACTTTTAAACAGACACCGAGAAGAAACACTTTCACCGAGCCGTACTTTGTCGGTGCGTATATGCCTACGTTTATACGATAAACGATAGTTGAATACCCTAAATATTACGACGAGATTCGATTCGCGGTCGCTATACCGTATTTTTTTTCCTTTTTTTCTTCTTTTTTTTCTCGTTTATCAATAGCATTATAGGCAGTGTTCGTTGAGAAACTGCTACAGTTACACGTCGAGATGTGTGTGAAATTCGACTTCTGGATACAATTGCACGCAATTATTACGCTCGACTTCACATTGCCCCTAAAACTACCGTCTCCTCTTTCACGTCCCATCGGTAGTATCGCGGGGTGCTCATTAAGATATTTATAAGACATTTACGCGTATCTTAAAATAAGTATCTCATGTTTATCGAGCAAACGTAAATCGATAAACTTTGCTCGCGTAGCGCTAGGAAAATACGCGTCCGAACGCTAATCAAAATAAGCTCGCTCGTACGGTCTTCGAATACGTCGCTTCCGTATGTATCGCGAGCTGGCTCAGAAAACGCGCGGACGCGCGCACGTGCGCGCGTCACTTCTCATCGTGGACGAACGCTAAATGAAGATCATAGAAAAACGATAATATCGCTAAGGAAACCTGAGAATTTCTTTCCTTTGCAGACTAACTTCCCGCACGCAATATAAACCGAGATAGTGGCGATGCACTTACTATCGAGAGTAACGGAGTACAAATAGAAATAATTATAATAATAATAATAATAAGTGTAGTAAGAGCGGTAGTAGTAGTAGTAATCGTAGTAATAGCAGCAGCAGCAGCAGCAGCAGCAGCGGTCATAGTGGTAATTGCAGTAGTAGCATCAGTGGCTGTGTTGATGATGGTGACGTACTTCACTCGTTGCATGTGTCGCTTGAATCGATTTAACGATTTGCAATTGACAACGAGTCCCGTTCTCACTTTATCAATGTGTGTGATGGGCAACCGGAGCGCTCCTCCGGTAACCACGAGATAGAGAGAGAGGTCCCATAATCGCCGCAGGCAGCGACCACCGATAAAGGTCCACTATAATCCCGTGGGTATATATATCGGACGATTTTTTACTTCGGAGTTAGGAGTTGAAGGCAAAATCACAGAATGACGCAGCACCGACAGTATCGTTGTCGCGAGGCTCCCGCGCTGGGTGGCGGAGTCGGCGGTGCGAAATACGCGTGCACCTTTAAGTTCGGTAGATGGGCCTAAAATAGCACAAACAACAAATTTAATAATCAATAATCCGTTAAATTAAGAGCGACAAAAAAAAAACACGACAAGTTCTAACCACTAAATGATCGTACGATTGCGACTTGTTCCGTTCGTGTTGAAACGAACGGGAAAAAGATCTCTTGGAACTGTAATAAACATTGCATTGATCTATGATAATGTACCGTAAGCCGCAGTCGCGAGGTCTTCACACATACGATTCATTGTTAAGCGGAAAAAGCAGTATTAATTATACCCAGCCGCCGGACGGAGTCGGATCGTAATTATGCGGGATCGTACTTTTTGCGGAATGCGCGATCTATAGCTTGTAAATATACGCGTTGCGTGATGTACGCACTTGGCTGCGCGCTGAGTATAACGCTCCGCGGGAAATGCGGATCCCTTTTTCCGCGTAACGCACGAATGTTTTTTTTTTTTTTTTTTTTTTTTTTTTCAAAGAGTACGGTAAAAAAACGGGACAATACTCTAAGTTTACGTATGCCCTCTCTGGTAATGTGTAGGCAGTCGTAAAGTTCGATACGCTCGAGATTGTGACAGGCCTGCATCAGATGGTTCAGACCGTTGTCCGAGATGTTCGGGCAGTTGTCCAGCTCTAAGACGGCTAGGTGTTCCGCCGCGCACGGCGACAGCGCGATTTGTCGGAGGCCTTCGTCGGTGATCAACTCACAGTGTGACAGGCTCTGCGCTCGGAAATGGCAAAACTCTCGATAAAGGATCGCTGCGCGCTGCGATACGGGAAGGTGCACCGACCAACGTCATAAAGCGGAGATCGCCTAGCGCGAATGCCCGCGTATTAAATCGCTACTCACTAGTTTCTCCAATCTCGGACAACCCATCGCCAGGTGAGTGAGGGTAGCGTCGGTGATTAAAAGGCACTCTTCCAGATCCATCTTCTCGAGCAGTTTGCAGTTCTGAAAGTCGAAAGTCGTATAGAGTTTCGCGGCTCGGCTGTTTACGATTCAAACGGTTCAACGCCGATTCAACTCACTCTCGCGAGGGCCTGAAAACCCGTATCCGTGAAATGGGTGCACGCGACGCACTCGAGTACATTGAGGAGTGGACAGTGTTGTGCCAGGCTAATCAACGTCGCGTCCGTTAAATTGGGGCAATTCGACAGGCAAACGTAATGCAGCCGTGGACACCGTTCGCTAAGTTCTCTGACTCCGTCGTCCGTGATATTCTGCAATAAGAATCCCAACGTAATTTTTACTTGCTAACGCTATACGTACTACTGGATCATTCTTTGAGTCGCAGAAATAGCTTCCGATATACGCATATTTATGAATAAATTTACATGAATAAATAAATTTTGAACAAATAATTATTTCTCTTTTTTTCTCACGTGTTAGTTCCCGACAAAATATGTATAAAGATAATTTTTCAAAATTTTTCAAAATATGTTTAAAGATAATATTTAATATTATCGCAAGATTTTCTTCTTTATGCGCTTTATATCTCGCTTTCTATCGAGAGGTGAAAGTCTTTAACGTCTCTACGCGAACACGTGCTATTGAAATTGCAAATGTGCGTAAACAGTTTCTTTCACAACTTCCTTCAATATGAAAAAAAAATATATATATTAATTTTATTTATTTTCAGCGATACGAGCGAGTCTCATCTCTTTGAGAAACACAGTGATATCGACAAATCCATCGCGCGCGACGACCGGCGTCTGGAGGCGCGAGACGCAATTGTTCGTCTTTGTGTAACACACGGATTTGCGGAGTCAATGAGATAAGTACCCTGCATTCGTGTAGATTGATCGCTTCGAGATTAGGACAGTAGCGCGCTAAGCACATGACGGCCTTATCCGTCAGCTGGCGGCAACCCTTGCTCAGGAAGCTGCGGAGTTCCGGGCAGCCCTTGGCGAGCGCGTCGACCCCGTTGTCGGTGAGCAGCTCACACCACGAGAGATTGATGTGAGTGAGCAGCGGGCAACCGGCCGCGAGATCCTTCAGGGACATGTCCGTTATCTCGGGACAGGAGTCCAGATTCAGCCGCTGGAGCTTGGGGCAATGACTGCTGAGGGCCGCGCATGTCGCGTCCGAGATCCTCTTGCACTGACTCAAATTGAGCTCCTCGATATTGGGACACGACTGGGCTAGGGTGCGCATCGAGTTGTTGCCGATACTCTGGCATCCCTTGAGCGAGAGCTGCCTGAGAAATCCGCCGCAACGCCTCGAGATATTTTCTATTACTGGTCCCTACGCACAAACGTACCCGCACATCCGGCATTAATCGCGAGTCCATCGCATTTTTTTCTGTCTTTGTTTTTTCTTAAAGGCGTGAGGGGGATCCGCCGGGATCCAATCTCTGCCTTTATTTACCTCCACGTCTCGTTGAAAATCGAAAAGATCGATCCTCTGCCAATTGGACCCATCGAGCGCCAACACGTTCCAGGCCTTGCTTACTTGGGCACAACGGCATAGCGATACGACATCGAGGTACGAAAAAATTCTGTCAATCACAGAGATTCGTTAGAACGACTCGCGCGTTATCACGTCCCGCGATTGCTTAACACTTTGCGAACGTGGGGAGGACAGTGTGGACTTAAGTTTTTCGCGAGGCATGATGAAATGTAATGCGCTCACGTTGAAATCCTACGTTTTACAAATCTCAACGTTAAAAGATACCTGTCTCGCGGATAAAATTTTAAAGGGCAAATATACGACTCAGTGTATATTTCAAATACAAACACACGGCAAATCTGATGCGTAAGATAAAAGCGTTTAGAGATTAGATCTATTTTCGAAGTAGAGTACAAGCGTGTCTCGTTTCTCGCTCAATCGCTAAAACCGATAGCTAAACCGATAAGTTTCACCGTCTCTTATCGCGCGGACAACTCGCATCTAACCGTGTTAAACCGGTAGACGCTGGAACGGTATACGTCGCAAGCAAATGTACGCCGTACCTGAGTAGCAATTCTTTTGGCAGTTTCTTGTTAATCTGCGCCTCGTCATCGTGAAACACCCATGTTAGCTGCAACGGAAAGACAGGTGATTAAATACGAGCACGCGGACGTGAGCCGGGCCGCGCTCGCGTTATCGTTCGCGGAGCGAACGACGAACGTTCACAGAGACGGAGTACAACAATCCGCCTCCGTTGTACGCACACGTTGGCGAGGACGGATGACGGTACGGGGAAGAGAGGGAGCAGGGGGGAGAGCTGGGGAGGAGATAGAGACGGGACGCAAACGTTAGACATATACGCTTTTCATAGCGGGACATAGAGGGGCGCGGGGAGGAGCCGCGGGTGGTAAAGCATTGACATGCCGGGACAGAGTTCTCTAGATTGACTAACCTGCATGTAGGATTGCTTCATGGTAGTGACAGGGTTGTGAGTATGCGATTGCGTGTAATAACCGCCCTGATGATGATAATGTTGTTGATGATGATGATGTTGGTGATAATGGTGATGATAGGATGGATGCTGCTGCTTCCACCATTGTCCACCGCCGCTTCCTTTTTCCGTCTCCTCGACCGCCAGTATCCCTTGTCCGACCCCTTGGCCCCCTCCTCCCACTCCTAACTGTTGGAGACTTACTTTTTTCTAAAAAAACATATCCCAATACGTGTCATCTCCGTCGCGCTGACACCGCGACGCCGCGATGCACACCGGTGCTCGCGTACACGCGGACAAACGGAATCGCGGTTTTCGAGAGAGCAGCGTTTCCCCCCGCCCCCCCCCGCCCCCTTTCAATTCCGTACGCTCGAAATCGGAGTATTTCACGCAAGAACGAGTCAGGTCCACAGCTCCGCAGCTCTCGCGATTCGTCCACGATTATTCGCGAGGTCCCGAGGAGGAATCTCGTCAATCATTGGACTTGCATCGTTGTCGCCCTGTGAGATTTTCAATTTCCAATTGGCTCATTCATGTCATTATTATAATTTGTATTTAATCTGCCGAATCTCTCTCCCCCAACTCTCTTATTCGGTTAAATTTTACAAATGCCAATAATAATGTTATTTTTATTAATTACCATAATCACATTACGATCACGAGTAATTCTTACATTATTCGCTAAATCGGAGGCACCTAACGACCTCGCCGTGTTCCAAATATGCAACTTCCTTTCGCACGTACTAATCGCCAATTAATGATTCATCGTCGATCTCGGGTGTGAACAATAGCGTATGCAAAGTCGGGAGTCAAATGATTGCGTTATTCTGATGTTATTCTGATTGGAAAGTGATATAACGGTTAATTCGCAAGTAAACGTCGTCGTGTTCGAGTAAAAGCGAAGGATTTCCAGTCGTACACACGCACACACACTCATACATCATTAATGCAATCTGTGTTGCGAGAAAATTATTATTATATTTACACATAAAAAGGGACTTAAAATATACTCTAAATACTATTATCCGTGCAATTTCAATTATTGGATTTCTCCCAAATAATTTTCTTTTTTAGATCTTTGCGCTATAGATTGAACGCACCGCGATCCCATATCTTTTATTAATTAGCGTGAAACATTTTCTGTCCAACTATCCGCGTTCAATTCTCATCGAAAAGCTATATCACGTGACTATAGAGATTGTCTCATTGATACGTGATACGAGTGATTCTTTTTTCCTGCGGTTTCCTCGCTCGACTCTGCGTCTCGTTGCATTTTCAACGAGGAAAGCTCGCTCGCAAAATGCTTGATTATTAGGGAATTAATAAAAATGGAAACAAGCGGCGAAGAACGATGGCGCATGCAGAACAGCACGGCGCGCGGGTCCACAAAACATTTTCAAGCGTAAGTTGCTCCCAAGTAAATCCCGAATGCTTTCTTTCTTTTTTTACGACCTAAGGTCGTTTCATCTCGGAAAATGAAACAACTGTGCGTGCCTGTGTGCGTGTGTCCATGTATGCATGCGCATATGTATCCCCACACATAACGAATACACTATAACGACAAATAAAAATTGATGAGTTGATTGTACGTATATACATATGTTGTGTATATGTGTGTATATATATATATACACACACACACACATATACATATATCTATAGCATTATGTGATATTATATGATTTCAGCTATAGAAATAAAGTAAGACCTTGATGAGCCTTATAAACAAGTCGACAAAAGAAAGTAAATTGTATCATACTCAATCACAATATCAAAAAATAATAAAATTATTGATAATTTAAGATAAAAAAATTACTTGGTACAATTATATTCCATCTCTTGCAAAACCATTTCCAGAGATAGCGCGGAGATCAAAATATTACTGGACACACATAAAAATTGTCGCGCATAAAATAGAAACAAAGAAACTGTCTCTCCATAGCTGCAAAAAATGATTTTTTGCATATCTTTTTAATGCAACCAACCGTACCTTGTCGATGTTAAAAATAAATCAATGAATTCACTTATGTATGTGAGATACATATATGAAAGCGATATCTATACACATTGAGAGCTTCTCATCTTGCACAGCCATACGAATAATTATTACAGATTGTAATGTAGGTTATGAAATTATAATTACCAATTGCTACTTTTGTAAACGTTTATTTATTTAATGCCAATTGTGAGGTGAAAATTTGTATCTTCAGTTTCGTTCGCAAACAGAAACTAAAGGTGATACATAAGTATGTTTATAAAGAATTTGGAATAATGTAAATTTGGAATATATTATAAATATTAATATAATAAATAAATAAATTAGTAATGTGTATTTTCTTACAATACACATTTACAATTGTGTGTTTCCTAAAAATTTAGTGATTCGAATTGATACCAAAATATTATTTTTTAAATACAGCGAGATTCCTGCCGTCTGGATAAGGATACTTTCACAACACGCTCTTGTAAACTTAATAACAAAATTATTACGCCACGACGATACCTATAACATAAAAAAAATAACAAAAAATTGTTTGAGTTATATGTAATCTTACAATGTGACATTCCAAGCAAAAAAATTATCATGCAAGTGTGACTTATGTAAAACATTAGAAAATTTATCGAATACTTTTCGCAGTTTACGTGCAACTGCAGATTCTCGTGATTCTCAATATTAATAAGAATTCCCTATCTTTTTATGATTTTTGTGAATCGTTAAATTTTCCAATGAGTCTCCACAAAGATCCACCAGTAAACCATGATCTATGCATGCAGAAGGATTTCAGGTGTCTGCGGGCGACGTTAAACATGTGCAGCGTTTAATAGACAAATCTTGCAGACCGAAGTAAACTCGCGTCCGCCGCTCGAGCTTAAAAATGATCAATTCGCCCGCGGATTTCGCGTTTGATGTTCGCGTGCGAGGTAACGCGGGATGGGTTTATTTTACTTCGGCCGCGAAATTGGGATACGTCCATTTCGTCATTGTGTGCGTCCTTGAAATAAAGCTCGGAGGCGCTTTTATCAATAATGGCCGTATGCATAGATCGCGCGGTGCGGGCGCGCGAGGGCAAGCTCTTCAAACTTCCATGCCTTATCGCATGAAGTATGCAAGCGCTGCATAAAATTATACAGGATAACGAAGGCGGCCGGCGATGGCCATCGATGCGACGAAGATACGCTATTGCGTTTCGGCCTTAAACCGTAAAATACGAGCGCAGTCTCGTGAATAATTATGACTCCGTATAATCCGAAATGATTCTCGATGCGCGCGACGCGAGCGAAATAACCCAAAATAACCGCAAAAGATCCGGTCCCTCTATTTTATATTCTAAACGTATTGTAATTCAAGCGCTATATTTTCTTCTCCGTTTCCGTCCAAACGAGCTTTGTCGCTTCGAAAATCAGAAATAATGAATAACCTTATTTCTCCCGGATAGAGCTAAATTTTTGTTATAAATAAACGTGTCATTTCGTTTTATTATTGATATGAAAGATCTATCTATTCGGTGGATCGCGACTGGTTTAATGACCACACGACGGTTTGTGTCAGATCTAAATATATCGAATGTACGTAATGTACATGTACCGGGGGAAAGGTACTTGGATATGGCCGATAAACTTATTACTGATCGGCCGTACTCAAGATTAGACAGCCTTTGTGTCTGCGATAGTGTAAACAAGTTAAGACGACACGTGCGTCGCGACTTTAACGGCGTTATCGTAACCGCGAATTTTCCTGCTGAAGGTTAAAGCGCATTTGCAAGTCTCAACGAGTGCGAATTAATAACTTTGTTATTCCTCAACTTGAGGAGGTCATTACCAATATATGTTTCGCGCTTTATTACGCGTATTCGTGTATCATTCTACCGGACACTATCTCAAGATACGGGACGATATCGTTTTTAACTACGCGATAAGTATACGTCAAGAAGCCATCCTTCTTTTGGCCCGCGTGCTGCTATTTCTCCGGATTTCGTTCGGTGCGTGCGCGCCGCGCGGGCGGACAGGCTGCAGGCGGGCTCAAAAGCGGCAAAATAAGCGGTCATCGATTCGGCATTCGTCTTAAATACACACAGCCGCCGCCGTGCAACATAACATATGCGCCGCGGACGTGTGCTAAAACGCGGAAGACAAATAGCGAAGAGCGCGGGGAGAATCGCGCGCCCATAAACAAAGTGCGCAAATCGCGAGCGACGCGACGCGACGTGACGGCGTCGTCGCGCCGGTGGGGGAGGGAGGGCGAGGACCCCCGCGCGACGCCGCCGGTCCTGATACGATTGCCTTCTATTATTCCTTATCTCTATCAGGGAGACTCGCGAGCGGGCGATGTATCAGGGCCGCGAACGCCGAGAGATCAATGCGGCCGTCAAGAATCTCCGCTTCGCGACTGGGGAAAAAAAAGAAACAAGGACGGTGCAAGAAAAGAAGTTTCACTCGGCATTCAGCTCGATAATAATACTGAAAAAGTAATACGGCGCTTCGTATCTTTTTAGGATTCTATTCGTTCAATCACCGAATTATAAAATCGTTCTACTAAACATCATGTTCTTCCGAAAAAAAAATTGCGGAGTCAAATATCATTGAATTTCGATGAAAACTTTATTTCGATTTTTATTTAATACTTCTTAGACGTTGCGTCGTTCGTATTCACACTGTTATCGTATTACTTTTATCGCCTTTATTGCGTTACTGTATATGCTCAATAATTAATAACAGAGCGACCATTTTTCCTTGCCCGAGATCTGCGTTTTTCGCCGAACGTAGTTCATCGCAGATCCTAGCGCACGTATACGATACGGTTTTCGGACTCCATTGCATGCGCGCCCCGAGCACGGTGCAACGCGACGTCATTCCGCGTGCGCGGTCGAATCGTCGCGCGCGTCCTGCAACTTCTGTTTACGTGTCCATCTGCTGCCGCGACCATCCTCGCCGCGCGATTTTCTCAAAATTCCGTTCAAACGATACACCTCCGTAATACGCTGCACCGCGATGCCGCTGTCCAATTCTGCCCCTGTGAATTATTCGATCGAAATCGGGGATCTGACACGGTTTTTCGAGGGGAAAAAAAGAACCCACCGATATTCAATTACGTCGATTGAAAAACGCATCGCTCCCTTTCATATATTCGAGCAGTTCCCGTTTCTTGTTGCGGGATCTCGTTGCGGAATTCCAGGTGCAATGAAACTATGCAAACTATCCGGCGTGAAAAG